TATATATATATATATCACTTGTTTCTTTTCAGATGTACAAGGCAAAGAGCAACAAGGAACTCTGGGCTTTCCTCTTCAACGACTTTCTGCTTTTGACTCATGCGTCCAAACAGTTCACCTCGTCTGGCCCTGATAAACTGTTCAGCAACAAGAACAATGTACAGCTCAAGATGTACAAGCCGGTAAACACGCGCACTTTTTTTGTTGTTGTTGCTTTTTTTACCTTAATTTTTAGTATCTGTGACGAAATCAAACAGACAGGGTCATCATAGGTAAGATGAAATGCTTGACATCGTATAGAAAAGAGGCTGGGTTACATTGTAGTGTAAAGGTCTCTGGGTCCTTTATGCCCATGATTGGCCATTGAAGTAAGTATAATTCGTATAAAATGTCTCCCTGTTCATTGGTCACATTTAATGTTGCATTTGACAGCATGTAATCTTTGACTTTCTGCAGCCTGTGCTGCTAAATGAAGTTCTGGTGAAGCTGCCAGATCCTTCCAGCGATGAGCCCACCTTCCACATCTCACACATCGATAGAGTCTATATACTCAGGACCGACAACATCAATGAACGGTAGCTGTGCATGCACTCGTATAAACACACACACACACACACACACACACACACACAGATTGGGTGTGTTTGAAAGGCCTTTAAAATCACTGTGCGTGTTTTGTGTTTTCAGGACAGCGTGGGTTCAGAAGATCAAGGCTGCATCGGAAGAATTTATTGAGACAGAAAAGAAAAAGAGGGAAAAGGCCTATCAAGGTTTGCCTCTGCACTCACACAGCCGCACTGATGGCAGCCAATATGATGATCTCTGGGTGAATTGATCTGTGATCTGTGTGTGTTTGCAGCGCGATCTGTGAAGGCTAGTGGAATCGGCAGACTCCTCGTCACCATCTTGGAGGCCACTGAACTCAAGGCGGGCAAACCCAATGGTGAGCGTGGATACACTCATGTTACAGAATGAACTTAAATTATTATGGTAGAATGCAGATTTGAATCCCTGCTTCATGGTTACCTAATGACGGCAACATAATGCTGCAGTTAGACTATTATTTTAATGCTTTCTCAGGTTTTGTCTCATTGTACGCTGTCTAACATTCTTAATGTCGTCCTCCAGGTAAAAGTAACCCATACTGTGAAGTGACCATGGGAGCTCAGATCTTCACATCCAGAACACTCAACGACACTCTGAACCCCAAGTGGAACTTCAACTGTCAGTTTCACATCAAAGACCTTTACCAGGACGTCCTCTGCATCACAATCTTTGAAAGAGACCAGTTTTCACCTGATGGTCAGTAACCTGCTAATTTCTTCCCTTTTCTTCTCTCCTTTTCACCTCGTCTTCGCCCTCATTCCTTCTGTGCGCAGTGGTTTTTATCATTATTACACACACACATTAAAATGTCTGAATACCACAAGTCCCTAATTCTCACCTTTTTGTCATTGGGGCCCCACGCACATAGGATGGGATCAGTTCATCTGTATTATTATTCTGAGCTCTTTTTAAGCTCCAATTAAAATGTTCCTTTCTAATTCTTTTCTTATATCAGACTTTCTGGGTCGGACAGAGGTTCCCGTGGCAACCATAAAGAAAGAGTTTGAAAACAAGGGACCAGTGACACGTCGTCTTCTGCTGCACGAGGTTCCTACGGGGGAAGTGTGGGTCCGCCTCGACCTGCAGCTCTATGGAAACAAATAGCTGTATGGGATGAACTAAAATAATAATGGAGTCTTCTACCAAGACATTTTCCTCCTGCAGAGTAACCAAATAAGAAAAGCTGCTTTTTGTCACCTAAACAAACTCAGGAGGGTTCCCACCACACGCCTAATATGGACTAAGATACCCATATCAAATTAAACTGTGTTTCACACACAATGCCTAAATATATTAATGTCAACCAGCACTAATAATACCTCTTCTGATGTCACCCAGTAGTCTTCCAGTAGGGAAGCGAACCCAACAATAGGAGTCAGATCTCTTTTTTTCCCTTTTTTTTTTGGTTCATGACCTCAGATGTAAAGGGTAGCATGACTGGTGCAGCTGTTTGCACCCGACCAATACGTACTGTATGCTCTGAAGGAGTTAAAAGGAAGGACCGCAGCCACAGTGGAGACGCAGCACGTGGTGGAGTTGAATCTGGGTCCTTCTGTAATAATTTATAACCTTCAGATGGAGGTAGAACTGAAAAAAGACAGTTTAGAAGCAGATAACCACAATACTTTTAATAAAGTAATACGGCTATCAGTATAAAGTTCGTATCTACTCTACTGTCTAGACTCTCACAGCTCTGTAGTTACAACAGTTGGGTTTTAAATATTCAGTGATTGAGACACACTTTGCCAAGTCTGGTCAACCAAGGCCACTTAATGAGTGGAAGCTGAGCTAACAAGTGTTTTCTCTTAACTTACAAGATATGTACATATGTACTGATGGTTTTCAAGAGGCTGTCTGATCCGTAACATGTCGTCTTCTCACAGTGACGTTAAACGAATCAAACAGTAGATGGCAGGTGATGGACAGAAACACGGACTCTGTCGAGCCGACTGGTCTGGAGTCAGTTTACTACTGTAGATAGAAGATCTCAGGATATGCTGTTCTGGGTTGAGTGATTTGTTAATCTGTTGTGTGCGTGTGTATGTGTGTGCGTGCATGTCTTGAGTGTAGAAGTCTACTTAACGTTTAGTTAAGATATAGCAACATACAAATATCTTCAGCCGAGGGCTCTTGATGCTGCAACTCTTGGAGTTAATTCATAACTTTTTGCCTTAATACAAGTCATCTTTTTAGTCTTTTAAAATCTGTCAGTTTTTTGGGATGCTGTTGGACTTGGGATATATTTAGTAGCTTGTTTTCTTTCGTGTGCAAAATCCGCCACGGCCAAGAAGTTTGAGTGCAAAATAATAACACAAAGGTATGAAAAGCTCTACTGATGAACATTTCCTTTCCCTTTTCTTCTACACCTGTTCCTGCCTTCCTCTTCAGTGTGGAGGATTTTGAGGACGTCAATATTTCGAGGCAACACAGATAGACAAGACAGTTTGTCAGCAATAATAAACAGTATTTTGTATCTTGTATTTTTGTTCTTTACACTTTTTATGCTGCCAGAGATTTTTAAGTGTCATTCTCCAGTCCTCGCCTCACTGACAGCAATATTAGCCATCTCTGTTGCCTCAAAAAGTTGCCCTTTACAAACATCCGCCATGAAAACGTTACAAGGATATAGTGTGTAAAAGCTTTTTTATTTATGTTGTCGGTTGACTTTTTGGTGTCTTCTGTCTTGGTTTTACTCTTTTGTCCTTTTACATCCAGTTTCTTTTCTAACTATGAGCGGATATTGACAAAAAGGGTTGTATTTATTTCTTAATTTATGCGTGTGTGACCATCCAAAGGTTTGGAGCGGCTTTTCTTGCTATGACATCTTGGATAATCAGTTGGTATCCACTGGGTTTGTTTTGAAGATGTGTGACGTCAAATATTAAAGATGTGTTCATCGGACACACGTTAATACGGTTTTAAAAGGCAATATAACATCTTAGATGATTCTGTATGATTGAGTTTTACTGTAAGTAGGCTAGGTCACTAGTCGTTGTGGTAGGCCTGCTGTTTTGTGCTCTTGTACTTTATTCATTTGTCTTATTCAAGCAACAAAACTCTTTTTAAGTCCTGTATTAACTTTGATGGGGATTTTTTTTTTTTATGTGCAAATAGACTGGATTACCTTCCTCGTCTGTGTAGAGGTGGTACAAGTTTCTCTTTTTTGTTTTACTTTTTATTTTCCGCAGCCTTCTGCATTGACTGCTGCTGTGCTAACTGAGTTTATGGCCTCTATAACCCAGATTGTCCCATCAGCCTGGAGTCTGTAACCTGCTGTTTGTACTCACTTTGGCCTCCATGTGGCTCTCTCTGAATCAGGGTTTCTTAAGTCAAATTAAAGACATTAAAAGTGAACAAACTGTCAAATTATTAAAGCAGCATTTAAAACTTTCAGCACCCACCTCTTGCAGCAGAACATAAGGGGTGAATGGCCCCTGAACTTCAGCTTTAGACATTTAGAAGTATGTTAACAAGTCAGACTGACGCTCATCTGGATGTTATGTCACAGCTCATAATCCTAAACACAACACTAACTTCATGTCATTTCTTTCAAACGCTGGTTATCTAAGTCACTCTGTTTGAAACACACCACTTCAGCCTTTGTACATAATTACACCACCCCACCATTACATTATAACATTGAGTGTAGGGAGGACAATGGTTTATTTCACTACATCACAAGCATAAACTGTGTCTTGTTTTGTCTGGTTAATCAAATATTTGACTAAATTGTTATTAATGTTATTTTAGTAAAAAAAAATAAAACCAGACTCAATATCAAATTTTATTTTATTTCTCACTGGTTTGTGTTGGTGTCCATCCACGGACTCAGTGAAGTTCAGTGTGGACTTGTCAGTGCGCACCAATAGACCTCATTAAGTCCTTCTTCACCCTCCACTGGCTCTGGGTCCACAGGAGCAACAGTCATTATGTAACCACGCTGAGTGGCTCTGCGAGAGGCTGACAGCAACACACACAGCTGCGTAACTGAGTCGACCAAGTCAGCTGAGCTCAACCTTCTGAGTGCCACAGTGGTATAATGGATTTAATGCAGTGGGACTGTGGTGATATAAATGGTAGTAACCAATGGTAACTAATTCCTTTATACTTGATTAAAAACCAATGTGTCCCAGACGTACAAGAACCACTCAACCTCAAAAAAGGTTTTTTATTTTATACATATATGGCTCCAATATTATAATCTCAGATGACACTATAACAATTACAGATAAGTGTAGCCTGTAATGTAAAATATTTGGATGCCAAAAAATTATTCAGAATTACAAAATGTAAAAATAGATTATATTGCTTGTTGGTTAAAGATTTAAATGACTCTTTAAATGAGTTACATTTTGGAAGCATGTCACTGTAAATACGCTGTTAGGAGGATGCCTGTGATATGGGTATAATACTGCACCACAGTGAAAAGAAAGAATGTGCTCATATGAGAGTGTGAAATAGTTCGATTCAGTTATTACAAGGCAGGCAGAGTGTTTGTGTGTTGCATTAATTTCATTTGTCTAGTAAGTGGAAAGCTCAAATTGGACGTGAGAGATGCAAACAGGCAGACAGCTCTCCTGCTGCTGTGTGTGTGTCTGCATGCCTGTGTTGTTTGCAGGTAGTCACTGTGAAGGTCATGTATGTCTGAGTATATATTTATGTACTGTGTGCAGACTGTCAGTGTGCCCTCTGTAGTCCCTCAGGAGACAATATACAGGTTTGGAGAGCAAGAAAGAAACTCTAGACAAACTTATGATCTTCAAAATTAAAAATGTCAATATTCAAAATATTTTAACATGCCAAAGCGCTCATAATCAAATAGTTTGATATTTTGAAATAAGAAGAACCTGCTGTATCCAGCCTAAGGGCCATATTTTGGTCATGATTGCGGTATATAAAGTACATTTTGGTAGGGTATGTAAGCTTAGCCTATCAGGAGACAAACATCTAAAATCCGCCTAACGCAGCTGCAGCAACGGAAGTGTTGCTTGGTTATCATCTTCTCAGTGATCTTAAAGCTGTTATGATCAGTATCAACAATGGATGACATGGTTACTTATATTTGGGATGGGTCACTCGTAGCAACAAACCCACAAAGAATTATCACCTGACTTTGCAGTTCTCCTCGGCTCTGTAAAGCATTTAAGCATCTTTCCTTTTTTGTTCTGCAACTTTACTGTTGTTGTTTAGTCTCAACAATCTCATCAGAAACATTTTCTGACACAGCAGGGAGCTGTTTTCATTAAAAAAGCTCAAATAAACCCATCGTACATTACCTGCCCAGCACTATACAGCAGACAGACACAGTAACTAACTGGTGAAGAAAGTTTAACATTTAGCAGCCTAAGAGCCAGATTTTTTCCTCAACTGGTCAATATAAGGGAAATGTAACTTTGTCATGTCTGCCAACTAAAACAAATTAATATTTTGTATCTAACTGCCAATTTAAGTTAGATATTTTTTAGATATTTCTTTATAGCTCATGACTCATACAGTAAATCATCTTTCTGTAGGACTTCTCCTTTTAAATAAAGGTACAGTAAGTGTAGAGGCACACAGAAATAGCAAAAGATGAGGCTAAAGGGTGGGAAGGGGTCGACAAAGAGAGAGTGAGGTAAAGTATAAAAAGAGAAGTGCAGTAAAGCAGAAGAGGAGAGTAGTTCAGAGGCAGGAGGAGGACAACAGACAGAAGGGAATAAACACATATGGAGACAGAGAAAGACAGTATGGAGAGAGAGAGAGAGAGACATGTGCATGGAGGATGAGTCTGAGAGGCCCTCAGTTCCACTTGACTCAGTCATGGGAATGATTTGATTATCACCACATGAACAGCTGTCTTATGTAACACACACACACACACACACACAAAGAAAGAAAGAAAGAAAGAACTCAAAAATAATGAGGGGTCTGTGTTCTGACCAAAAACCTACTATGAGCAAAGGTGGCCTGTAGCAACAGAAA